AGTATTGAGCTCTCCTACTAGAGTGATTCAAATTCAACAAAACAGACGTCATCCCCTTCGTTGTAACTCAGGTCCAAACCACCATGACATGACATACTTACGCATCTAAATTTACACATATTTTCACCACATGTACATAGTTTCATCGAGTCGAACTTGGCAGTCAACTTTACGCCGAATCCACCCTTTCTCTCTCCCCGTATGACCAACCGTTTGATGTTAATCATACTCGGATAGGCGCTCCTCAAATAGTTACAAAGTTTCGCAAAACCGCCTTCGACGGCGTCGATCCGCTTCGAAAGTTTTTCACCCGAGAACAGATGCGAGACTAACGCTAGAGATGTCAGAGTTAACACGAAATCGATTTTTGTGGTCGATTTTGAAATTGACAAGGGTTGGATTCAGTTTTTAGCGAACAAGCATTTGGGACGTTTTTAAAATAAGCTATGTGTATGCTTCAGCATCCAAATACTAGACAGAAGAGTTATGAATAAACGAATGGGGCTGTAATGTGCGTTTCATTTCGCATATTGTTCCGATATGTTCAGCTGGAACGTTCTATTACAGATGCGTATCGTGTGCGGAAGGAAAGGGGTTGTATGGTTTGACTTCTTGAGCGTCTCAGGTTCCAGTTGAAGCATGTCCGTGCGTGTCATAGGCGTACAAGTGGAAAGACGTGTTGTTATTTTCTCCTATAATGTGGACAGGTGTTCAAGACTTGTGATGCTTGTACTTTTAGAAGCTTTAGTTGTTTTACGGACACGCTATGAGTAGACTTTTCACAGGGACCTTTTGTCCAGTTGCTTGTTGGATAGGTGAATGTATTAGTCAGGATAATTTAAGTTTTTACCAAATTCGACGTGTCTGTTGTTATATACTTAGGAAAAAAATTAGAGGAGTTGAAAATATCGAAAAAAAATTCAAAACTGAAAAAAATCAATTTTAAAAAAAAAATCAAATTTTTCAAAAATTTTTATAATTTGTTCGCGTGCTCTTTTTATAATTTTACATTAAATATTTCGAATATCGAAAAAAAATTTTTTCGATATTTATAAAACAAGTTGAAAAATGTGATTTTTTTTTTAATCTCAAGATTTCAAAACTAGAATCTTCATGCTTCAAGATGCTTCTTTTTGTTTCTTGATACGACTATTACTCATGAAGTTACAGCCAATCAAATATTTGGAAATTTTCCTGCCCCTTTAATTTTTTTGTTGAGATTATTTAACAATTTTAAGAAACATCTACAATTACACCTGTTGAAAATGAGTCACTGCTTTCGATTTTGACACTGGAATACTATGGTATTCGTTTTTCGGGACTGAGAATATGGAATGAAAAAAAATATCGAGTAAAGAATAGAAATTAAGTTGCTAGTCGCCAGTCTGATTTGATAATTGCGTTTTCTTTTTATTTCACGTTACTTACCTCGAGACAGCGAAGCGCTTTCTGCTTTAAAAAATATATCCAGACGGTCTTATATTTTTTTACGGAGAAAATGTCTAGTAATTACAAATGTAAATTTCTTTAAGTAGACAGACTTAATAGCTTAATTATTATCATGACCTTCGTACTCTTGACCGACAGTGAGAAATTGTGGTTAATAAATGGTTCTATTTATCTTATGGGCAGCAATGTATTAGTTTAGTTCAACGAATATTATAACGTTTTTCAGTTTACTTTTTTTTATATCAACTAATTGTTTTAATAAATCATACGAATTAATTTTCCAAAAGTCGAAAGTATTAAATTCAAGTAACCTTATCCGATGAACGGTAATCTTTCTGATGTTAAATACTGTTCATTGGATATTAACTAACGTATGCGAATTTTACTAATATTTTCTACGTTTATTTTTGTTTTCAGACTAAAATTTGCTCTACTGGACCAAGAGGAATAACTTTGTTCAGAATACCCCTAAGTTTACAATTTGGTAAATACTAACAACTTTGTCTTATAATAATCAATGAAGATAGGCAGTTTTATTAAAAGTGCTGTGCAATTGATGTGCTATAGAATTATTGTTACAGGGTTACAACTTTTTAATTGTCCAGTATCAGGTACCTTTCTTACTTTAAGAGATACAGAAATGGTTAGATGAGCAAAATGTGCAGAATTTGCCAATCACGGATTCGTTTTTAAATTTAGAATATTCCAAATGGTTCTGGAGATATTCGAAGGAAACAGTTTTTATGCTATTTTTTTTTATTCGTATTACACTTGTTTTTCAAAATATTAAGACAAAAATCTGTGGTCTGATATTGAATGATGCTAGGTATCGATTTTTGCTGTCAGTACTAACATATCTCTTGAAATGTGCGGTGAGCGGTAGTTGACTTTTGTTTTTGTTACGGACGCCATATTGAATTATTGCCTTATTAGAAGAAAACGGAAATTCTCTTCATAATGATCCATAATTTATGAGGTGTTCATAAATAAATATCCAGGATATTGAATATAATTATAATTTTAATAAAAAAGTCAAGTAGACAGGTGAAACATCTGAATTTTTACTGCAAATTACTTTATTTATAATAAAGAACTAAAGTATAGGAGATTCGACAGTCTCAATGAAACCAATCTAGACTGTTTCATCTTAATAGTGAAGACTTAGCTGTAGATAATCCACTCACTTCGGGTGAATGGTGTCTGAAAGCACGGGGTGACGTCACTAACGAGACTCCTAACGTATTCAAAGGCATATATGGGTATGAAGATGCAACAACTCCTTCGTTTTTCAAATAATTACATTTCTAGTGCTATTGCAGCTTAAACATCTTCATATTATTCATTTTATTGTGGCTACACTTAAATTAACTTGTCATCTGTTAAATGTGGAAACTACATGTTTCACGTCTTACGTATTTGTACAGAAACAACTCTGCATCTCGTAGCTGACGTCTGCGTCTAGGCTTTCCGTTAATTGCATATCGATGAGATATGATGTGTGGTGCCATATTAGACCAGGGCGGATCTGGTTCGAGATCGAAATTGGTCCATTAAAAGCAGAAATAATGCAATTTTCTCGTACCTTCGCATTTTGAACCTCCGAATTCAGTCTCGGAGCGAAAGCCCCCTCCCCCACTTTTCGTGCTTTGAGTCACTTTTCGCGCGTGCGAGCAACAGCTTACCCGATGATTTATCTATGTTGCGGATAACTTATGGATATGAAATTTTTTTCCAGCTTAGAACTCGGAAAAACGAAGCCACTGGATCAAAGATTGCAAAATTGTTTACAAATTAACGGTAAATGCCGATAAACTTTGACCGCTTATATCTCGAGAACCATAAACGGAATTTAACTTATTTTTTTAAAAAGAAGCATCTTTTCTGGTACTTTAAAATTACAAAATTTGAAAAAAAAAATTGCAAATTGATAAATGTAATCTAATTGTTTAAAAATAAAAAAAAGAGTTCACTTTAAAAATTTATTGTGGTCGATCAACCGATTTCAATTTTTCAAAAACCATTTGAAAGGTTGAGCGGTCTTTTCTATGTGAAAAAAATTTCAAGTATCTCTAGATGCTTTATTTGAGACTGGTGCAACATTTTGAAAATTCGAAAATTTTTTTCAAATTTTTTTTCGAAAAATTATTTTGCGGAAACTATCTAACCAATTTTAATGAAATTCGGTGTGTTATTTTATTACACTTAAAGTTTTTTTTACCAACATTAGAATACCCTCGGAGCAATTAAAATATTTTTAAAAAATTATACAAAAAACTTGATTATGCCTTTTTTCCATCAATTATTGTTATTTTGCAACATTGGTAATAAATTTAGACATTTTTAACCTACAGTATATTATGCAAAATTCAATTTTAAAACTTTTTTCCTCTTCAATATTCTTCCAAAGTGCATAAGGTTTCAAGATATAAGTAAAAAACTCTGATAAAATAAAACATTTTTGCAATGTTGAAAATGTTCCGGACCTCGCCCAGATCTTATGTGAGTAAAGGCGGAAACACACATACCAGTAAAATAGGTAAGTAACTTGTATGCTAAGAAATGGCATATGCCGGCGGATGACACACTGCTGATACATTTGCAAGTAAAATGGAATGTCTCGTTAGTATATGGCTTATTGGCATGTCAGTAGGCAGCAAGTGGTAATACACGTGCCAGTGTTTCAGTGATCAGAGAGTTTTCAAGACGGAAAATAATAGGTTAGCTATGGAAAATGTGCGAAATGAATTAAACAATATTATCCTATTACTTGCATCTCAATTGGTAGTTAAAAATATTAAGCAATAGAGGATCAGAAGAAAGAAACGAGATATTTGGGTGAAAGACTGGATTAGCAGAAGAGAAGAAAAGAAGAGAAAATTTAATGAACTGTTATTGAAAACTGGAAACAACATTCAGAAAAAGATACCCATACAGTCATCCAAAGTAGAAAACAAAATCGCTTATAGTGGTGATAGCTACTGGAGTGTCAGCAACTAGTAGACATGTTCCGATATGCCGCTTGAACGCCCCCGAAACCCCCCGCCTCACATTGCATGCCAAAAAAGCAAATGATGTGCAATTTACTTGCGCGCCTTCTACAGGCATGCTTTTTAATAAATACACATACCAGGAGCTATCTCTTACAAGCTACTTGCATGCTATTATGCAAGCAAGAGGCATGTGTATTTCCGCCTTTATACTCCAGAAAAAAATTTGCTTGCCCTCTCTCACATCCACCTCAAATCGTCTACTGCTAAAGCAGCATTTATCAGGATTATTTACCTACTTACCTTTTGTACAATAATTTCAGGCCTGTTCAAGAGCATAACCACAAAGTAATAGGAATTGCAGTAACTAGTTTCTTGCGTTTAATCGTGGTAATTAATGGTTTGTATGGTCCAATGAATACTATTATTTTTTTAACTTCTAATACAATTAACAGTAAATTTATTACAAAACGCAGTTTTGCAAGATACTGGGTGGATTTTGGGAGGTGGGAATTTTGCAAAGCAACAAAAAAAAAGATTGTAGGTACATATCATTTGTTTATATTTTACAATTATATAATACAATTTTAATTTTCGGTCGATATCGCGACTTTTAAAAAATTGAAACTGCCTATATACAATTAAGAACGTTTTTAAAAATCGCCATATCCTCTCATATATTAAAAACATTTTCTTGTGAGACATCCAAAAAAGAAACGTCATTTCTTCTATACTACACAAATAGAGCTTTCAGAGAAAATACTGGCAAAAAAAAAGACTTTGAAAAGCTAATTGATAAGTACGTTGCGTAGGAACAAATAACTAGTGGCATAACATACGGCAAAAACAAAGGAATGTACGTCAAAAACAAAAAAGTCTCGGGGCAATAAACAGATTACAATCCTCCACAGATTCAGTCGATATACAGGGTCTTCCGAATCTACGCAAAGCGTGCTTTGCTTTACTATCACATATATCAGTTTTTCGATCGTGTTGTACGATCGCGTAGAGTGCGAAACACCCTGTATATCTTCTTAAAAACATCATCGCTTCTTCGTCACAATAAATTAATTTAAAAAGATAAAATTCGTTGTAAATTAAAATGAAAAAAAAAAAGAAAACGTACTTATACGTTAATATAATAAATACTGTAAAATCATTAATAATACTGTAAAAAATATACAAAAATAAAGTCCACTATCTTATAAACCCAGTAATACAAAAAATGGCAAGTGGTTTAAATGTTGGCAAATATATTCGTACATATATACAAAAAACATCTAGTCGTCCCACGATCAAAAATTCGGCGCTACGGAAACGCTCCAATTTCACACTTTACGTAACAGAATGGAATTTTTGACTGTGAAGCCGACGAACCCTGAAAAGGTCGCAATCGCGGAACATCAGTTTTCACGGAATACTAATTTTCCGCGACTCTCTGTTAAATTTTAGGACGGTCAATTAATTTATCTTGTTCATTCAGCCGAAATTAATAAATATGAAAATTCAGTCATTTTTTTTCTATAAATAAAATTTCCATACAGGGCACAGAGGATCGCTTTGAAGAGGGAACAATCTCCGATTTCTTTCACTCTAATGTAACAGTTAAGAGCTCTAGCTGCAGCTGCCAGGTTTTATAACACGAACACCCTGTATCGTACAAATAATGTATAAAATATAAAAAAATTAAAAGTATAGTTGTCACTTAATATTAATATATACAAAATTTGCAATATACACGTTTTACTACCTGTTTAATTAAAGTATATTCTTTCATAATATATTTACGATACACTATCTCTAACAATTAGTGTTAATCTTTTAATATTTCAATATTCAACATTGAAAAATGCAAGAGTATTTCATATTTATCACTTATTAAAACAAAACATCGATAAATGCCTATAATGTCTTTTTTGTTCTCAGTATATAAAACGTCATGGTTAGGTTTACAATCTCAATTTTGGCTTGGCTTACGCTACGAAAGGCTCCTCGAAATTTAGGCCAAAATATCTAATTTGTCGCGTCATCCATCACTCACCCAACGGGCGGCAAGAAAAGAACACACAGAAAACAGATATATCCTCTTTTTTTGTAAATAATCGATGGAACTAGCTAAAACTTTTAAGTACAGGCCTGCGTATAAAAAATAAATAAATATCTATGTCCAGTTCACCGTCCAGATTTGACCCCGCTCGACACCGCAAATCCAGCTAGGAAACTGCCCCACCCGCTCCCCAATCCATCCTGTACTCACTTTTATAAAAATACCTCGCCGTCTGTGCGTTTTTTTCTAGCCCTAACGTAGAGTTACGCGTCGCTATAGTGGTTCTGGTCGCTGGTCTGGCGTTTGACCTTCTTGGGCTTCTCCAGCTCCTCCTGCATGTGCCGGAACCGCACGAAGCCCTGCTCGTCCACCAGCATGGAGTCGGGAATCTGGTGGCGGTCGTGGTTCGGCAGCGTCTGCACCCCCAGGTGGGGCCGGGGGTGGTTCTTCCTCGCGCGGCCGGTGGACCTGCGACCGGAGGTGTTGGAACTGTTCCTCGAACGCCTGTCGAAGTCTGACCGCTCGAACTCGTGTCTGGTGCGCTCGTATTGGTGTTGGGCGTTGGGGTTGTCCACGGGCTCGCTGTAGATGTTCCTCTCCGTGGGGTTAGCGAACATGTCGTGTTGGTAATCGTCGTTGTTGTACTCGACGTCGTACTTCGGCTTGCTGTAGTACTTGGCGGAGTCGAAGCCCTTCCTCGCCGACGATCTCTCGTTCCTCATGGAGTTGTGAGCCGAGTTGTGAGCCGAGTTGTGAACCCCGCGTTCGAAATTACCGGAGTTGGGCTGGATGAAATTATTCAGACTCGCCCCGTCGATGTTCTGACGCGAGTCGAACCTGTCCGAACCCCACTTAGGCCTCTCGAACCTGTCGAAGTTGCTACCGCGCTCCCCGTCGCTCTGGTAGCGCTCCAAGGTCGATTTTTTGTCGAAAGAATCGTTTTGGAAGGCGTTCTTCAGAAGGTTAGGCCTCTCTACCGTCTCCGTAGGAATGTTATCCATGATCATTTCCTGCCTACTGTAATTCAACGCGTTGGGGTTGGTATTGCAGTTGTTGGGATAGATATTATCGGTGCTGGAATCGCTAGTGGTGCAGGGGAACAAAGGAAAACCACCTGCGGATTGCTTCTCCCTCTGGGACATCTTCAAACTCACCACTATCGCCAAGAGCGTTATGATGGAAATCTCTATGAACCTAACGGACAATTCGAAACTCCACAGTATCCAGTGGTGTTTTATCTCGGTGTTAAATCGATCAACTTTAATGAAGAACAAAGCGTACAACTGCACCAACCCAAGCAGCACAAAGAGTAAAGCCACGGCGATGGTTATATGACTAGCGTAGGATATATTTTGGGTGCACATTTCCGACAGGTTCTGACTCTTCTTCGCCAGTACGTTCTTGATGATTCTGTAGAGGTACAGGTAGCTAAAGCCCAACGCCCAAGCCAGCAACACGAACACCGGTTTACATATAGTTAAACTAGCTTTTTCCAAGTGTCCAAAAGCCTCGACGATGCTCAGGCACAAGCACAGGACGATATGCAGCAAAGCGAACACCACCAGAAAAACCGGACGAGTCTTGACCTCCAGGTGCGTCAAAGTCCTTTTCAGCAAGAACAGTATCAGTACGGCGAAAGTCGTAGCGAGGAGGCTCAAGGGAAAGCTATGGAGGAAATCGTAGAGGAAGACGGAGAACGAGTTGTAGACGTTGTAGGGGTCGTACATGAGATAGAAGATGCGAAGGACGCAGATGACGGTCAACATGAGGTGGATGGTGAGGAAGTAACTCTTGGAGAACATGTGGGGGTCGTTCTCGTATCGAATGAGTTTGTAGATGGAGAAGATGGCTAGGAGGATGTAGCCGAAGACTACTAGGTACACGTGCACATTCCAACAAATCACCCAAATCTCGTCGGAGTTGGCTTTGGTCACGTTGTTCTCCTTCTCTTTGACGTTGGGCATGTTGACCATGTCCGACATCTGCGTCGTCACGTCCTCCGGGTGGTTCTTCTTTTCCGGTACGGGAATCTCCTTTTTAATTGTGACGCTCTCGGAGCGGTCTGGAGGTCTGGAATCTTGGACCACCTCTTTTTTGGAAACGACGACTTCTTCGTTCTTCGGCTCCTCCACCTTCGGCGGTTCCGGGTCTTTTACTTCCGGGTCTTGAACCTTGGAACTGGGCTCCGCCGCCGGGACCCTAGTTTTGGGTATCTTAGGCTCGTAACGTGGCACATTAGGTGTGGCGGTCACCGTCCGTAGAAGTATATCGGGTATATCGTCGTGTCTACCGTTCGATCCGCTTAGAATCCTGGTGATGGAGGGGACGTAACTTTTTTCGTACTCGAAGTTGCTCTCGTTCACGTTCCTGTTCAAGCCGTAGAACTCCCCTCGCACGTTTTGTGAGGGAGTGTTCAACGACTTCTTCTTCTCGTTCTTGTCTTGGTTGGCTTGGCTGGGGTTGGCGGGTCGCGACTGTTCGTTGTTATTGTTGGCGTTAGGCCTTTCGGGCACCCTTTCAGCGTTGACTTTGGGCAGGTCGGGCCTAAAAGGTATCCTGTCTTGTCTGTTCGGCATTAAACTCGGCGGGGGTATAGGTCGACGATTCACGAAACTGTCGGAGTTTGTACCCCTTAGAGTAGGCTTGTCGGCGAAGGGGTTTTGGTACTCGGGAGGTAGAGGCGGAGTAAAGAAAGCCCTGTTAGGGGGTACGTAGCTCGGTGGTTCCTTGCTGTACATAGACTTTGTCGGTCTGACGTTTCTGAGTATGTTGTACGTGGTGGTCGTCTTGTACACGTTCTCGGTGACCTGCTCCTGGTTGTTCGGAGCGAAATCCGGCCTTAATCGGTCGTTATTGTACCTGTTAGGGTTGTTGTAGTTCTTGTTGTTGTTATTCTTCAGGATGTCGGCGGCCGGCGCTGAAGTTGGCAGGACGTGGTCTTTCTCCAGGTCCGCTCCGTAACCGCCGTCTAGATCCCTGCGAGTATTCTCGCCTTGGAAGTCGGGCTGTTCAAAGTCGACGCTGGCCCGTCCGCTCTCCCGATTCGAGTCCGAATTCTTCAGGTCCACCCTCAGCCACTCGTCGTTCCCGTCCGAGTAACGGTACGTGGTGAGCAGCGGCGTGGCCAAGGTAGTGACCGGGTAGGCGTTGTCCGGGATGGACCTCTTGGTGGTGCTGCCGTAAGCCACTTTGTTGAAGACGGCCGCGATGTCCTTCTCCTGCACCCACTTGTCGAACTCGCTGGCGGCGGCCTGCGCACTGGCGAGGGACACGAACAGCAGCGCCGCGAGCAGCAGGCGGCCGTAGCCGCAACCGGAGTCTCTCCTCACAATTGACCATTGACTTTTATATAGGCACGTAAAAATTCTGAGTAAACTAAACGTGAATACTACAATACGACTAAAGTAACGGGTGCAGTCTTTTTCACAATGTAAACAATCACAGATAACGATTTCGCCGCGGTCGGCGAAGCAGTCCTCTAACCCGCTAGGGTGGCGCGCGCGATAGCTGCCAGCGCCAGCTCTTCCAGCACGTTCACTGCCAGGGGGAAGGCCCGTATGAGCGTCATGACGCATATCAGAGTCCCTATCTCGAGGGTCACCTCGAGGATGGCGTACTGGTATTCGGGTTTCATTGAACGGGGTGACGCCAGCGCCACTGGGGTACGTATCACTGGCGTCCATATTTCTACGTCTTCCGAATTGCACTGGGGGCGTGGAAGTCAACGGCGTTGCTGAGATGTCCTCGTTGCCATACCGTGACGGTGAAGAGATCATTTGAGTTTCATGATGGACGCGGGTGGGGTGACGTGACGGATGGTTAGAGGTGGGTCATGTGAAGAAGATCGGCGACCTGCAACAAAACAAACCACGTTCAGCAAAGGGATAAATTTAAACAGTGTTTTTTTTTTAATTTGAAATATATGTTATTAATTTTGAACACCCTGTATATCGAAAACAAGGAAGGAACTTTTTATTGTTGTATGGGAAGTGGAATTCGCTATTAAAGTTTAAACAAGAACCGAGAATTGTTTAGGTCCATACTTTTGAAAAATTAGATCTGACCCATTTGTTTATTAGCCACCCTATAAAATCTTTATTTATCGTGCGATTTTAACCGGATTTTTTTTTAAGATGTAGGACTTGATGAAGTGTGCTTTGTTGAAGGAAAATGAGCGTGATCCCCCAAATTCAAGGCACACTACGTCCGCTTTTAGGAATAACATTCTTATCATATTACGGATTTTTGAGAAAAAATACCGGGTGATTCACAAATGGTGACCAAAAATAAAACCTCGTATTTTAAGGGGTCTTTCCTGTAAAATTTTTATCTAGGACGCTTTGTTAAAAAGATACAGGGTGTCAAACTTTTTTAAATAATTTAAAAACTAGTAAGTGAAATAATTTTAAATTGGACACATGTATTTATGTAAACATTATCCAAAATCTGAGGGCTTTTCTGAGGCATTTAAATTATTAAAAAAAAATTAAAAATATCTTTTGAAGTTCAACACCCTGCATCTTTTTAACGAAGCGTCCTAGACAAAAACTTTATAGGAAATACTCCCCTTAAAATTCACCAGAGAATACGAGTATTCATTTTTGGTCACCATTTATGAATCACCCTGTATATTTACGCCCCCAAAACGGGCCAATACCAAATTTTATCAAAAAAATTTAATTACGATGTAGCAAAATTCGTAAGTCTGTACTTTTGTTTTTTCATTCATTTATTATTGATATAAAGTTGTCCATGAAGCAAAACAAAATTGTATTGTTTTTATTTACAAAAAGTAATAGTACAGTCATTGAAGCTTTTCACCTCCGAATTCTGAACTGATCGACTTGAAATTTGGCAGATAGTCAGACAAAAGATCAATGAACATTAGTGACATAGCGCCGATTGACGCTTCCACCCTTTACAATTAGTTTTGTTTTAGTGTTTTTCATACGATCCTGAAGTTAGACCGGTTTAGAATGCGTATTTTTTGAATAATGCACGTTAAAAGTTGAAAACGTATTTTTCATTATTCAAAAAAAAAATGCCTTATTTATATAATAACTCTGAAACTATGAAAGATACGTAAAAAATGATAGACAACAAAAATGTAGCTTTTTTTCAACAAATATTTTGCTTTTTTTATTCCTATAGCATAAAAAATAAAGGAGATATGGCCGCTTTTAGTGAAAAACCGACCTGTCTCGAGCCCTTCGATCTTTTCCCTTTAAAAAACGAAGGTTTTAAAAGGTTTTATATGCAAACGATCTTACAGCTCTTGAAATTTTCTTTAAAATGCTTTTTTGTAGGATACCATAGCTTCAAAATTATGGTAAAAAAAACAATGACATTTTTTAATAGGTTTTTTTTTAATGATTGATTATATTTAAAAATCGATTATAATAAAAATATTTTACATTAATATTGGTAAAGTGGTAGTTTATAAGAGTTGAAAATGGCAAAAGTAAAATATTCTTTCATAAACAATATAAAGGAATTTTTGTTTTAAATTATTGCACAATTATAGCATTCCAAGATTTAAAACGTAATTTAGTACAGGGGTGATTTATAACGGTTGAAAAAGGAATTGTTATCAATACAGGGGTGGTTTTTAAGGGTTGAAAAGGTACAATTTTTTTATGAGCTATAATGTAAGTTTTATTTTAAATAATTGCACGATTTAATCATTCCAAATCTTTAAAAAGTAATTTTTTATCATTATTTTTTGCATAGGAGTAGTTTTTAAGGGTTAAATAAAGGGTCAAAAGATCAGATATATCATAAAACATGTTCGAGAACATGGAACATTACTTAATCTTTGTGCTTGAACAAGATTTTTATCAATAAAATGCTTAAAACTTAATTTTTTCAATTTTTTTCACTTAGCGGTAGTTTTTACCCCTAAAAAACAAAAAGCGTCAATCGGGCTTATGTCACTTTTGAACTTGAGCCTAAGATGAGCCTTATTCTAAATTTTCATGCAAATCCATGCAGTTTCAAAGAATTCGGAGGTTACAGCTGATTTTCAGCTTCAATGACTGTACTTTAATTACCAACGTACGTAAAAGAATTGAGAAGTGAATAGAAATGAATGGTTGATTGATAGAAATGATAGGAATATAATTATTTAACTTTTGTTGGTTTCAGTTTCATTATTTTATTTTTAAATTTGTTAAAACTAAGATTATTAATAATTATTATAAAACCATAATACTAGAGTTTAATTAATTTCATTTTTTTGTTTTTGTTTTGCTTCATGGACAACTTGATATCAACAATAAATTAATAAAAAAAGTAAAGACTAGTGAATTTTTGATATGGCCACAAAATCGTTACCTATCATTTAAAATTTTCTGATAAAATTTGGTATTGGCCCGTATTGGGGGGTAGTGAATCCAGTGGCGTAAATATATTTTTCCTCAAAAAATCCCTAATATGAAATATTACAATTTTACTCTAAAAACAGACATAATTCATATCTATTTAAAGTCTTGTCTATGCTTCAACTGGGCAGCTACTTTTAAGTTTTTCCTTTTTTCAACGCCTCTATATCGCCAATTCCAGATTCCAGACACCATCGAGGCGAATTTTTAATGACTCCGCAATTAAATCCTTGATGATCTCTTCGCGGAATTTCACAAATAATCACGGAATCCGCATTTGTTGCAGATAATATGAGAAACCCATTTAGTTCCGGCTGCAAATACTTCATGAGGTCTGAGTAGTTCCAGAGACTAATTTGTTGCGTAAAACGGAAACGTTGAGAGCTTTTAATTCTAGGTAAAGTGCATCGGACTGAACTTTGTTTATGAACAAAAAATACCAGTAAATTAACTGATGCAGACGCGACTCGCTAATGCATTTAAAATTGGCACTAGAAGAAGTTTAATCACGGTCGGGAATTTGGGATTAAAACGTTGCAAAAGGTCTAACTTTAGCTTTTAGGCGCTGCAGAGTGCAAAAGCGATAGGTTTTCAGCCGCTACAACGACCGCATCGTCAGATAAATTAACTGTTATACAGGGTGTACAGAGAAATGGTGGAATACTTTTTTGTTCGTCTTTAAAAGATTTACAAAACGATGTCTCGAGCGTCAAAAAATATCAATCCGGTCAAAAGTTACTTGCAAAACACCGCCAATTATGCCATTTTAAATAAACAATAATAAATCGAGATGTTATCACATAGTCCAGGAAATATAAGAGTTGCACGCGACTTTTTGTTTCGGCAAGCTGAATTTACCACTATAGATGCTAAATATTAGTTTCCAGTCATAAAAATGGGGGGAAGATTGTTTACAGGCTGGTTAATGGTAAAAATGTAAAATTGTTAAATTTACGTAAATTCACGTTTTTCGTTTACCTATAACTTTTTGCCGTTCATTTCCACGAGAAAACAGTATTGTCTTTTTTTTTTCGTCTTCAAAAGACCTACAAAACTAGCCCTCGAGCGTTAAAAAATATTGATTAGATCAGAAGTTATAAACAGAAGAAGTTTATTTATGACTTTTATATTGAACATTTATAAACTGCGGTATTATTACCAGAACGTTTTGGCATCGCATCCTCTCATTCCTTATGTATTTAGTTTTTTTAGCACATTATAAACAAAAAAGTTCATATGCACTATGCCTCTAAAATTGATAGTTTTAAAGTTATAAACAATTTAAGTTGCCAAAAATGCGAAAATGAGGATTTTCAACGGCCGATTTCCGGGTTAGAAATTATTATTTTTGATGTTGCCAGGTACCTAAATTAAAGTTTAAACATCCCCCTACAAGATGCTGAAGAATTTTTGGGACTCGCATTATTCTAAAGCCTTGTTTTTTAATTGTTAATAAAGCGCTACGAACCGCGCGCGCGCCTCTCTCATACGCGGATTCGCTACTTCGTCTAGCGGCTTCAGCTTATGTTCTTTGAATTTAGCATTCTAAGTACTATTACTACTCATAAAATAATGTAAAAATTGATTATTTAAATTTCATAATTCATAATTATTTTATTTTATTAATTCAAAATTGTACGAATAGAGTGCAGAAAAAAATAAAAGGGCAATAGTATCAAATACATTTATTTTTTTATTAAAGAACATTAATTTAATACTGTATATTATTATTATCTAAGGACATTTAAATAAAGGGGACTTATTTATTTACATTTCTAGATGAATGCTGGTCTATTCACAGTCTAATTGTATCATTGTTGTCAGCTGTATAATTATACTGGAAATGTACTTAATATTTTTATCGCAATTTTCATCACAATTGTGAAAATTATTATTATCGACAGTATTATTAAGTTATGCATACAATATTGTTAAATTCTGTACATATTAAACTATTTTTCATTTTTCATATTTGCCATGTTTGAAGACTTGGCAACTACGCAATAATTTGTAGCGTGTTCCTCGTTCGTTCTGCCGTGGTTGGCAGAATATGGCGTCTCTTGTTAGAAAATAGTTGTGATTTTAGTAAGTAAAACGTGATTAGTGTTTATACATGCATTTTGGATAAACTTATAAGGTGTGAATATGGTTAGACAGTGCAGAAATTGTAAGAAATTGGATTATAAACATCCACATCAGCTATCCTTCCACAGGTAAGCGTGCTTGAAGGTGACTTTGGAATGTATATGCAACTGTGGCCATTGTCGTGCGTGTGGGTAACTTTTATTTGAATAACGGTAAATTTTTATAAAACTGACTTGGTATTTTTTAAAAAATTTTGCTGAAATAGTAAGAAAACAATAATATGAACCAAGTTTGGCCATTAAAATCAAAGGAAAATGCTGCACCACAAATAAGTTACAGACATTATTTATATTTAATATATTTATAGGTCAATGTTATCCCTTATAC